CAGAATTTGATTTGACACTCAAATATTTGGATGACAAAAAGTAACGTTAGTTTAAGCATTGTAAACTATACTGTAACATATAAATCAACAAACTTTGCATAGCAAAATATTGTAGGTTCTGTAAGTCCATATGACAGATGTTCTATTTGTTTTGACATAAAGTTGGCATGTATTAAATGGAGAAATAGAATATTGTGACCCAGAAAAGTTCTCTAATACTTGTTTTGATGTTAGGTTGGCATGTATGTAATAGGCACACTATTATTATTAAACTAGAAAAAAGTAGTGATTATTAGAAAAGAGTTTGCAAAGTAAGTATTGTAAAATAAAAGATTGTTCTTTTAATTGTAATGTTATTTAATTGTAATGTTTTCCTGGCTATTTTTATCCTATAAACATATGACAGCTTAAACAATAGTATATTTCGTACCTAGGGCCAAAAATTAGGTTTTGCCGGCTCGAGATTGTTTTTAAGTTCGAGACGAAGTCGAGAACTTAAATCGATCGAGAGCTGGAAAACCATTTCGGTCCGTGGTTCGAACGCTATTTTTCACCACACTATAGGCCTACCCTATTACCACTATAATAATGCTCACTGATAGTCAACACAACTACAACTTTACGGTTATGTGAAGAAATAATTTGAAAAATCAGCAAAAATAAAAGTAAATAGTTGCTAGGCAACGGTGACAATAACACAATTCTATTGCAATGCTATGGATTTTGATTGTGTGTGTATTTAAGATGCATTCATGTTTTAAGTAAGTAAGCGGACAGCTGATTTTGCGTTCCCGGGCTGTAAAAACCTGCTCGGTCCCCAAATTACGATGACACCTGGAATGGACAGCAAAACGTAACTTTCAGCCACCAATTAACGTATGTAATACAGCCAAAAACATCATAGTGTGGTGAAAAAATACTTACAGCCCACGTTGAATTTTTCCGGTGATTTTTGTTAATACAAACAATTTGAATTTTCCCAAACCCGAAATTCAGGCTAATAAAATACATACAACATTTGATTAGATGCATGATCCTCAAAGCAATAAAAAACTACTTAGATTTAATTTTTTATTCGGTATCGACGAATATATACAGAGCATTAAAACAATATATATTACTAGCTGAACCCGGCAGACGTTGTCTTGCCTTTGACTATTTATAATTTAAGTACCGTTACGTTTAATTGTCTCGTTCGCATGGCTCAATCACGTCCTGGTTGAAGTTCGTTCGCTACGCTCACTCACCTTTAGGTTGGAGCTCGTTCGCTACGCTCACTCACCTTTAGGTTGGAGCTCGTTCGCTGCGCTCACTTGCCTTTCAGGTTAGCTCGTTCGCTACGCTCACTTGCCTTCAGGTTAGCTCGTTCGCTACGCTAACTCGCCTCCAGGTTGAAGTTCGTTCGCTACGCTCACTCACCTTTTGGTTGCAAATTGGCAGTTGTCATAAATGTAAAAGAAATAATAGTGCTGCACCCTGTTGGCAATCCTTGTAACTTTAAAGCTATTGAACATCATAGAACAGAACCAACTTGTTTAATTGAAACAGCTGTTAAGATTCATTAATTCCATTTCTCATAAGGTTAACATGGGAAACTCCAGATCCACTGGGGCGGAGCCGATTAGACGGATCACGAAATTGATGGTGTATAAACCTATTCCATGACATTCTACACGTATGTACCAAGTTTCGTGGCAATCGGTTCAGCGGTGTCCAAGTTTATCATCCCCAAACAAACAAACAAACAAATATATATACAAACATCCTCTTTTATACTTATAGATATACTTCAGGACGAAAGGAAGATTGAACAGTTAATATAAAGTATCAATACAAATCGGTTGTATTGTGTAAAACGGATGTTTTTGCTGCAGTATGACGAAAAAGACCTTTTTACAGGTCCTCTTACAAAATGTCTTATATTATAAAAGACCTCCCACACCTCATTAAATAACAAGAATACATTAGTGAAAGTAGTGTGTAAGAGATTGTTAGATAAGCAGCATAATGAAATATACCTCAAACTTGTAAAACCTAATCTTTTAGTGCCATATAAACTAGTTATAGATCATTAAATACCAAGTAGTGTGTTAACCAGCGATACATATTTTATGTGTTCGATGATGCATATACACGAATGTGCTGTAATCCAGTAAATACTACGCCTATATAAATTTCTAATATTAATATTTGGCAAGGGGATAAAATTATTCTACTGTTACAAACTGTACTTATTCCGACAGAAAATTGTTATGCTTAACCTCAAGTATCTATTGAAAATATCATTATGTGAGCGCAAAAAGTTAATATTTGATAGCCATTGTAAGAACTTTGATAACATATTACATACGGTAATGTATATAATTTTCAGATATAAATATTTGTCTATAATTTATTAATTATGTAAATAGGCAGACAACTTGACAAGGCCGAAATGCTGCTTCTTGCATTGCATTGCCAGACTTGGTTTGTGTTTTAAAACCCATTTTAGTACAGAACTGTGAGCATTGCATTTATTTGCTGTGAAAGAGAATAAGCTCAAACATCCCGGAGGGGAATAGATTACTCTTCAAATTTAAAACAAATCAATCAGTTTAAAATAATATTCATTGTTACAGGCAAAGAAAATATATATCAGGCGTTCAACAGAATGACTAGGCATGCTATGCATTGCATAAAATAAACCAGCCACGTATGAAATAGAGCTGAATGAAATCATTGACTAGGAAATAAAGGTTTTTGTTTCCCTTGTCTGTGATGAAATGGAAGGATTGTTTTAAACTTTTTATTTATTTTTAGCACTAGCCAATGTAATCTAAAATTAACGGAAATTAATTCAAATAACCCAACCATAAACAAAATAAATCTATCCTGATAAATAAATGGTATTTTTTGTCTAAGCGCAGCAAAAACAGCAGTTATTTTTAATACCCAAATGCGCTGTGGGTCTAAGCGCAGAAAACATACTACTATATAGTCTAAGTCTAAAGTCTAAAAGTAGGTACTTTTCTTCCAAGGGAGTAAAAAGCCTTGTTAGTCCCTAAGGAGGGAAAATTAGTTGTTGTAAACTCAGTTGTAAGCTTCGATTGTAAGCAATCGTATTATCGAAATTATGAATAGACTGATTTCATCGGTTATATTATTAAGAGTTTTATGATATCGAAGTGCTTATTGTGTTCTCCACGCCTTTGTTTTATGATACTTGAGACGCAAATTCCTATGAATAGTCTATTGTCTATCGGTTATTTATGATATTAATTGCTTATTAAAAATTCACCTTCTAAAATATCTTCTCGGATTCAATAAAAATAAATGGGGTTTTGTAGCTTAAAAATCACGTGAAAGAATTATAATTTTTCATTCATTTCCAAGCCTGAGAGCCATCCTTCTCATGCCCCAGAGCTACCCTCATGCCTGAGATCCATCCTCATGCCTGAGATCCATCCTGATGCCTGAGAGCCATCCTCATGCCTGAGATCCATCCTCATGCCTGAGATCCATCCTCATGCCTGAGAGACATTCTCATGACTGAGAGACATCCTCTTGCCTGAGAGCCATCCTCATGCCTGAGAGCCATCCTAATGCCTGAGAGCCATCCTCATGACTGAGAGACATCCTCATGCCTGAGAGCCATCCTCATGACTGAGAGACATCCTCATGACTGAGAGACATCCTCATGACTGAGAGACATTCTCATGACTGAGAGCCATCCTCATGCCTGAGAGCCATCCTCATGACTGAGAGACATCCTCTTGCCTGAGAGCCAACCTCATGCCTGAGGGCCATCCTCATGCCTGAGAGACATCATCTTGCCTGAGAGCCATCCTCATGCCTGAGAGCCATCCTCATGCCTGAGAGCCACCCTCATGCCTGAGAGACATCCTCATGCCTGAGAGCCATCCTCATGACTGAGAGCCATTCTCATGACTGAGAGACATCCTCATGACTGAGAGACATCCTCTTGCCTGAGCGCCATCCTCATGCCTGAGAGCCATCCTCTTGCCTGAGAGCCATCCTCATGCCTGAGAGCCATCCTTATGCCTCAGAGACACCCTCATGACTGAGAGCCATCCTCATGCCTGAGGGCAATCCTTAAGCCGGGTTTTCCTAGGCGCGGAGTCGGCCAGCGGAGAGAGGAACGCGGAGAGCGGACTCAGCTTGTCTTAGGTAATTTAATGTTACTGTTTTCCTAGCAGCGGAGCGGAATGCCATGTTAATTTCAATTCCGCTCTCCGCGTTCCTCTCTCCGCTGGCCTACTCCGCGTCTAGGAAAACCCAGCTTTAGGGTCGATTTACACATATCAGCTCAGCCACAGTTCCGTTACAGTCCAGTTACAGTTCAGTCTCAGTTGCATCCGCAATTTCTCAGTTAATTGTCTGTCAGTTGGTTTCAGACAGTCTTCCGTCCCTAATATTTACAGCAATTTACAGTAAAAAATTGTCAATTATAAACCTATATTCTATCAAATTATCATTGTCCATCTTGTTGATTGTTACAAACCGTACTTAAAATATAAACATAACCATTTATATAACAATAATAATATTTCCTAACCTCAAACAGTTCCATCAGGCGTCTGAACAATCAAAAAATATCGGTGGAAAGAAATCTGAAATTGACTGACGGATGCCGGCAGAGCGACTGTCGGGAGAGTTTGGCTGTTTACTTACGGGACACCCTGTATTCCAACCTACCTGTAGGTATATGTAACTGTTTTTAACTAGGTATATACGTAAGGTCAAAGGTGTTTTTTGCTAGGACAAGGAATCATTGCCGGTCAGTTTTGGCACTCATCATCAGCTCAGTTATCATATTCAGTGAGATCGGTAAGGAAGATTCTTGCAAAGGAAGTTTCTAAATTGGACACGAGAGTGAAGCACTGAACAGAAGAAATTTAGTTCAGTTGTTTGCCACTAGAGAGCATTCCTAATTCAAACAGCTGATTCAAGGTTTCCCCTCCCCACTATGCCCAGCGCTCATGCTGTCTGCTACCTTCTTAGCCTTTTGTCTGTCATAGCTTCTGCGTCATTCGCAAACGTGAATGTGATTTTGTTTATCGTGTTCTGAGAGTAAATGCTGATTAATTTGTTGTGTTATTTAAAAATATTATTTTGTTAAAAATCGTGGTTTAAGTTTCATTAGACTAATACACAAGTGTATGTGACTAATTGTCTGCATTTAAATTATTTGTGTAGTGTGTTTGGCGTACTCTAGAGAATTTTAGTGCTGAGTGAATCAATATTACCTAGGTGAGACAAACAACTGTGCTTTGTGGTCTTAAAATTTACTGCTACTATAGAATAGGGCCTAGGTTTTTTTTTTAATTGCGTGTCAAATTACATTGAGTAAATTATATACATAAAAATGATAAGACATAGGCCTAAGTTTGTCTGTTGACACAAAATGCAGCTAACGCATAGGCTATAGGTATTATTCAAAGGAACTGTGTTAACCCACATATTAAAAATAGCTAAATAGGCTAGGCCTAAGTTATCATTCAAATTTAAAATTCTAAGAATTTCTGTAGGGCCCTATATAAGTTATCCCTTGGGGGTTTGTCAGTTGCCGCCACCAAAAAAGGATGTAGGCCTACCTATTTATTCATATCAAGTAGGAACCTAGGTCTTCTTCGTCAACTTTAATAATTGTCCATGTAGTCTGATGTAAATGCTAGGCCTTGCACGTACTTAACCGCTAGATGAATAACTTACTGTTTCTAATCAGTTTAAAGTAAAATACACTGTAAATCTGCATTTAAATCAAGTCAGTTCAGTAACTAACTTATTTGGGTACACTTCCATATCTGTTGTCAAAAACAACCTAATGAAAAATTATTCGATTTGTCGATTATTTCATTCGATATATCAATTGATATTTTTGTTCGGTTGTTTTTGAGAACAGATACGGAAGTCTACCCACATATTTTACTTAACAGCCCAAGGAAAAGTAAGTTAGTCAGTTAAGTACACAAGTGGAAGGATATAATTTTGCAGTCAGGTCCTTACTTATATATAGTGTTTGACTTCTTTATTTAATTGATAACAACACCCTATGGCCTATCATGTCCTTTAATTGTCATCCTTAAATTTGTGTGGCAGGTAATTTCACTTACACTGTACCTATGCAGCCGGTATGCCAACACTTAAAGAACAGTAAAATACAGACAGCCTAAACTTAATACATTTGACTATTAATACAACAAAAATAGTCAATGCTAATACCCTAGGTACCAGCAGAGTATCAAGTAGGCCCATGGTATCTTGCCACAAATCTTCCGTTATAGAGTGGATTGATAGAAAGAGTAACATTTAGCTTTATTGCGTCTTTTGAAAAAAACAAAATTATTGATAGGTTGACAATCCTATAGGCCTAGGGCAATTTTTTGTCACTTAAACTGTTATTTATACTGTTAAGTAAAACAAACAACTATCTAAATTTTGTAATAACTTCTTGATCAGCATTGTACGTGTTATTAAATTTACGGAAAGTAAATAAAAGTAACGTCTTATAACACTTAGAACATATATTTACGCATATTCTGTTACTCACAAGACGGTAAATTTACAAAAAAGATGGCAAGTGGTGATCGATTTCGATTGGACACTCCAATCATCATCAGACCCAATAGGAGAATCTATTGTGATATTTCTATCTTCATCGAATCTATCTATCAAGATTCGCCTATTGGGTCTGATGATGATTGGAGTGTCCAATCGAAATCAATCACCACTTACCATCTTTTTTGTATATTTACCGACTTGTGAGTAACGGAACAGTATAAGCTTAAATATATGTTCTAAGTGTTATAACTAGTTTCTTTTATTTACTTTCCGTCTATATTTTTAGTAGCCTAGAACTGTTCATTAAGTTATGGCGAGTTCTTGTGACAAAACATCCTTCATTTAATCTGCCTAAAAATTAATTTAATTAAATGTTTAATTTTACCATCCCGTGTTACGTAAAACAAAATTACTTGTCGTACACATGCTTATAATTGTAGTTTCACAATGGAGCTTGAAACAGTTTAGACTGCAAAAGCATGAAATTCATATAGAATGATTGCATGAGATTTGAGGTTGTGCATTTTGTTGTGAACGTTTTGTATGCAGAGTGTCCAAAACATTTTAAACTTAGTTCTATGAAGCTATAGGCTACTATGCAATTTTCATCAACATTTAGACAGCAACAGCTTGAACAATTCTAAAAGTCAGAAGCCCCAGACCTTGCATATAATGTAACCTAATTCAAATCAGTAATAACATGTCTCAATGGGTAAACAATTATAATCTATGTAATGTGGAATAATGTTCAGATAGGTTTTGAAAAACCATTAAGTACAGTAGTGTCAACACATTTGTAGGTACCGGTACCAAATAAATTAAAAATTTAATTTTATAAGCCAGGAGTTTTGAGATCAAGATTAACAAGAATTTACAATTTGTAGATGCTTTACACAAATTTGGTTTACAAGTCTTCAATGGGAACATTTTTGAAATCATTCAAGTACATATACATGTGTCAAGAAGGCCCAATATTAAAAATTTGTTTGTTTTGTAACCAATCCTACAAGGCAAAATATACATTATGTTCATTTTAAATATACATTAAATTTTAACATTTTCAAAACTGAAAAGTAGTTCAGCAATTTTATAACTTAATTATATCAAATTAATTATTCAGTTTTTAATCAGATTAGAATAGGTTATTGTTTTCATAGAAACCTTTTGAATATTGAAAAGTTTAAAGTGTTTTTATGGACATAATACATTTAAGCTATGGTATCCAAGATACCAAAACTGATTAATTGTCCTGTTAGCTGTTACCATTTGGTTTTGCCAGTTATTACATTTGTTTAGCCTCTAGTTTGACTGATTATCACAGTATTTTTTAAATCCACTTATTTTGATAAAGCGTGCATTTTAAAAACTCAAAAAGCTTTACAAGTGCAATGACTGGATTACCAAGCTTAAGTTTATTTTACAAGAAGCTGTTAAATTTAAAATGTTTTATTTTGTTAAGTTTTTAGTCAGATTTAGTTGCCTTTTTTTAATTTTTGTAATGGTGGAAACAACTGCATGTGCCGTAGAACATGCAATGGCTATTATGAATGACCGATTGTTTTCATACTTGGTAGCTAACACCTTAACTACCTATTGATAGGGTTTAGCAACTCATACATATTTTCAATAATTTAGCTGTAATCTCCTTACTCACAGTTTACACTCATGCCTTCATATGTACCTAGTTGTCTTAAATGCCAAAATCACCAATTTCTGTTTTAATTACAAAACACAATTATTATTATTGCACTATCTTTAATGTGGTTCAACATTCTCAATACCTGCAGCAATACTGTTATATCATTAATGAAATAAATTCTGAATTTTGCTAAGCCTAAACTGTAGTTCTGACTTTTTTTTTAAATTTAATGAATCATTTTAATTTACTCCCTATATCCTTCATGCATATCATTTTATAATTAAGATTTTTAACATGAAGTTGTTTCCACTACAGCATGTCTCAGTGTTAGCCTGTTTTTGTGTGTAGCCTAGCCTAACCTAACTGCGCCAACATGCCGGGAGGGCTCGGGGCCTCGTACAGGTCCCTTGCAGACGATGTATACAAAACCACGACCATTCCAGACAATAAGTTTAGCGTGGTGGAATCCGTCAAAAAGGTGTTTAGTTTTACAGCAAACCAGAAACGCTCGGAACCTCTCATTGCAAAGGAACCCCAGCCAGTCATCACAAAGTAAGTTTGGATTTTTGTGATTTTTTTGTTGGATAAGCAGTTGAAGTATAAAACATTTATTTCAGAGTAGATCTATTCATTTTTTAAATGATTCAGGCTAATACTAAACAGTTACTAAATGTTACCGCTATTTATAAAAAAAATTGAGGAACTGAAGTGCTAAATTAATGAAAATGCATTAGAAAAATCCCATAATGAAAAAATCATATGACCAAAACTCAAGTTCTTTTAAGATTCTGGATCATGTTTATGCAAATAAAAGGTAAACATATCTTTAATACTGTCAAGTGATCCAATTTTTATTCTTGACAACTACTGGTTTCAAGCCTAAAAAAGTCTGAGATGGCTTTTCATAACTCTATAGGGTTGCCATCATTTGTTGACCCTAGATCCAGACATTGGCAAAATCTGGGGGTCTGGGGGGTATGTAATTTTGTAAAATTAGACACTAAAATTTGGGGTTTTAAGCATTTTGAGACGTATTTCTTTTAATTAGGTAACCTAGCTTAAGCTGGGTTTTCCTAGGCGCAGAAGCGGAGAGCAGAGAAAGGAACACGGAGCGGAGGGCAGAAAAGAGATTAATTTGGTGTTCCGCTCCGCTTCTAGGAAAACAGTAACATTAAATTACCCAAGACAAGTGGAGTCCGCTCTCCGCTTCCGCGTCTAGGAAAACCCGGCTTTATACAAACTTTTCAGTCAATGACAAGTATTAGTAAAGCTACGTTTCCATTCCTACAAGTCGCAGGCACAAGTCGCGGCACATGTCGAGACCATGTCGCGGCACATGTCGCACGTAGTTTGTCATGCCGTTTCCATTCCAGGCACAAGTCCCGCGACTACAACTGGCAGACAAGGTATTTGCTCTCTTATTGTGGTGTGGTGAGGTGCAGTGGCTGATTTTGATTACCGGTATATTGTGTTCTACAAATCGCCATGGATGACAAAAAATCCTCTGCTTTTTTGTTTATGGCTGGTGCATACAATGAACTTAGAAGAAAAAGAAGAAAACGACCTAGATGGTGGATAAGAAGTTTTTTTGGCTAAAAGGCCTTCACTCATATTTGGGTTAGAATCCACACACATAGTGACTCCCATCTTAAATAATCGATAATTGATAATTGACCATTAGAAGGAGCATTTAATTAATTGATGAGAGATTTGCTCGTACAAAGTGGCTTCAAAAATTTCCTCCAACAACTCGACGAAATTTGAAGTTATAATTACCTGTCATCTCTGAGCATGCAGTAGTTCCGAGGATCTGCACATGCGCGAGTTGCAGGCACATGTGCCCGGCCGTTTCCATTCCAACTGGGCACATGTGCCTGCGACTCGGGCACATGTTTTGTCGCGCAGTCGGCAGGCACAAAATTGTGCCGGGCACTTGTGCCAGGCTGTTTCCATTCCTACAAATTCTGAGATTTGTACCAGGAACACGGCGGGCACATGTGCCCGGCACAAATATGTAGGAATGGAAACGTAGCTTAAGCATTATGATAAATAAGATACCTACGCTATTACTTTAGCAGCTGTACTGTTACTTGCTTTAGTTAATTTAGCCAGCTGTTTGCTAGGAGGATTAAACATTAATTAAAATTGTTTAATCCTCCTAGGCTGTTTGGTAGCTTCAAAAGAGTAAACAAGATCTGTCAAAGGGTAAAATTACCCGATTTTGCCACTTTGTCCAGACTTCAAACTGGACACTCAAATCCAGACTGTCCGGACAAAATCCGGACGTATGGCAACCCTTTAACCCCAGGGATGATGAGAAACATTTTTGTCTTGAAAATTAACCTTAGGTTTGAAACAAATGGAAAAAGGGTTGCTTGACAGTATTGGGTAATTAAACCTTTTATTTTAAACCGTACCAATTTTTCAATAGTTCATGGTCGATAAATACAAACCATTTGTATTGCGTAGTAGTTGTATTTGAAATTAGTAACAAAACAGAGTGGATACTTGGCAGAACTTTTACAATTTTAAGTCTCGATGATAAGATATGACTTGACAACAACTCCTCAGTTGTTGTTCAATCCAGCGTCTAGAGGTTCCAATATCATCGTAAGTATTGAACCTCGTACTCTCCCCGTCCAAGTATCAAGTATATCTTTGTGTTCACTGCATGTAATTTTACAACTTTAATACCACCCCGCTATATTTTAGAAACAATTGCACTGCTTAAGCATTCACTTAAACTACCCTTAGTGTATTTTTACTCCTATTTATTTTTGCATAGTTAACTGTTATTCCACATCAGAGAGTAAACTGTTTCTAGATATAAGCATGATCTACTTAGCACCTAAAAAGAAACATAATAATTGGTTCCTTCTGAAAATAAGTGCACAAGGTATGCAATATCCTATAAGACTTTTGTAATGATATGTACATGTTCTTTATCCAGTTTATTGTTTGTATATAAGGTTTAGTGGATCCATCTTCAGTTAAAAGGTTATACTCTAATTTTATAAATCGGTTGTTTTAGAATCTATTACAAATACTGTCCTCACATTGACTATGTGAGGACAGTATTTGTAATTGATTGGAATTTAAGGTGCAATGTTAGCATTTCAATTTTAAATGCTTGCAAAAAACTCATTATTTATAATTTCACGCCCTTAAATTTTGGGTGCAATACAAATTTTTGACAAGCACCTACAAATAGCGAGGAAAATTACCTTGGTAACATTTTTTATCTATGGTAACATGTCCAACCAATCATTCATTGTTCACACTCACAATTCTTAATATTATGATTTGATGGTTGATTTATAATAATTTATGTTTTTGTAGTTTAAAAAATTTGTTATGTTATTTATGCTTAGTCATCTGGGAACTAAATCGGATGTTCAAACGGGGATTTACAGGAAATAAGTCTTTTGGGCATAGAGTAGAGTCTCAAACCATAGAGGACAAAGTTGACGAGTACTGTACAGTCTTTTTTGAGCTTTAATGGGGGTTTTCTCTGTGAAGACATATGTACTAAAGAGTATTTATTATGAATAATAATATTTCATAGTTTTCTTGAAGCTGGTAAAATGGTACAATCTTAAACCGAAATCACCCTTTTCCCTGAAGATGGACTTATTTTCACTCTCTAGTACTCTAGTATTATGTCAATGAGGAATGATGTACGTAGGTAGTTAGGTTGGGCATGTTCATGGTGTGAGATGTTTTTGATGTTTAGGAAGATGCCTGCATCCGCGGCGCCGGAAGAAACTGCCCTGCTCGGGTAAGAGATTCATGTTTACAGGGCGGTGATGGTGGTCATGGGTTCACAGTGTTTTCTGTTCTTCTGTTCACTGCTGCACCTAAATGTCGCTTGTCTTTTGTTCTGTTTCTCATTTCAGTGTCATTGTAGTTCATTGCCAGGATAACTACGGAGCTTTTTTGTGAATTTATAAGTTTTTCATTAGACAATTAAAAATTTTTGTGATTTAAATTCTTGTTCAAAGGGAAAGGAAACTTGAGTTCAAACCCTAAAACTATTTTGACGGACCAGTAACAGGTTCAAAGTTAAATCAATAAATGAGGTGAATCATTCAAAAGTATGCAGATTGAAAAAAACTCAAATTATAAGTGCGAATATTTGACACATTTTAATGGGATATGAACCAAATAAAGAAGATTTAACATTAAATTCAACCTAAATGATCAAATACAATGTGTGATTATCATTTAAAAAATGATTTGGTTCCATTAGCCTTAATGAGTCTATGTAAGCAAATTGAATTGTTCTTTTCAGAAATACATACCTCATTAATTCTGTCATAAAATTATATTAAGTTAAAGATAAAAATCTTAATCTTAAACTTGGGGTTTTTAAAGGTGTTGGAATGCATGTTTTATGTTGAATGGAAGTGATTGTAAATGCATTTTGTACTTTTCCAAGACCAATTGAACGTTCAGTGTGTTTTGTGTATTGCATGTAAGTGTTAAGAATTAGATGAAAAACAAAATGAGTTATTTTATTTGATTTAAAAATTATTAAAATTTGTTTATGTTAGAAATTTGGTTATGATATCAAGTGACTACGGTTGATCTTCTCTAGAGTATAATCTATCACTATCAGTTTATTGATTTTGTGGTGGACACATAACGATTATTATTTTTGTTCCTTTTTGTCTATTTGGTCAAATCTAAGTGACCAGTACTACAGAATATTTTACACTCATAACCTCAAATATCTAAACTAATTATCAGTAATTATTATTACAAAATTGTTCCCTACTAATTGCAATATATTCTACTCGTATATTTCTGAGAGCTTGCTTTGGAAATTATTTGAGTGTCTGCTTTTACGTAACTTATCGATCGCCCAGAACTATCTAAAAGGTAAGCTTGTAAATACAGTTGGTGTAAATGTTACATTAGCCTATAACATTTCTGAATGCACAGAAGCGTAGATGCATTTGCTTGGCTTCTGCATCGTAGGTCTTCTCCAAAGTTCGTTCGGAAACATGATTCTTTGCTTCTATATTCCCGATGTCTTATGCAATCACGAGAAACATCAATACACTTTTGTGAACCTTACAATACATTTTCTTAGTTTTGGGTTGATCAGTGCTTCCTGTCCGTTGTAATTTTCCTTTAACTAGAAGAAAGTACAATGCACAAATAAATTAAAATAATATTTGAATAGTTGAAAAAAAATGCTTTCAAACAAATTCTTAAATAATCTAATGTATTTTAAATTGTATTTAAGCTCCTTGAAATTAAATAATAATTTCTAAAGACCAACTGTCTTCATGTAAATTTTTCAGAAGCACCTCCTGTTTGGTTTTATGCCTTGCAATGAAATAATAAATTCTAAAGACCAATCCTCTTCATATAAATTGTTTTAAAAAGTGTCCATTGTTTCTATACGCTGAAATGAATATTATAATTGTTATATAAATGCTTCTTATCGTTATGAAAACAATCAATTCGACCAATCTCCTTCACATACATTATTTTGGCCACTGATGGTTCGATTAAGGTAATAAAACAATCAATTTGACCTTACATTATATTACGCTCTCGTTAGCTCTATAAAGTTCAATAGGTGATGTATCGTGCCAATAAAGCAAGGATTTGATCAGATGGCAACATAGGTCAGCAGGATTTATTATATGGACATAAATCAGTACCATTAACTACTGAGGACTGAGGGAAGGGTTGCTCATGGCTCAGAGGTATTGATTTCTCTGTCTCTACCAGGTCTAGTTCCCCACCTCCACCCGATGTACGCTAAAAATCTACCTTATCGATTGTATGACTATGTCGATGTATCGATGATAAGCTGCATTTATCAGACTGTATTGCTGGAAAGTAGGTCAAGCCTCTTTGTACTTGAAATAAATTGTTGGGTCTAAGAGGACGGTAAGGGCTTTGGGGAGTTTTAGTGCGGGATGTTTCTTGATGGTTTGGAATTTAAAGTGTTTTTTTATATAGTTACAATATCAAAAGGGCTTGCAGGATTAAGTATAGGGGTGAACTGGAATTTATGGGATATCTAACACATTTTTGCTCTGTGATTAACTTTACAATTTATTTTCTAGACTTTATAATAATGTACACAGTAAATCTAGACAAAGCTATTTGTTGCTAAAAAACATATACAGTAATAAAATTATCACAGATAAATTCAGTATCTAACACGAATATCCGTGGTATCTAATAGTCAATGTTATTAGCCAAAATATTTAAGTAACAGTTAGACAATAGACACACATCTTTATTAGTAATTTATTTAAGAAATGCATTACTATAGCGTCAAAATATAAAAATAGAAAATAGTTCATGTTTTTTTTAAAGAAATATACAATTACATTTTTTTTTATTGTTCAGAGAATAAGCGGTATCTACAATCTTAGAAATTTTTGAATCTAAACTTCTTTGACATAAAGTCTTTCAATCAACAGTTTTTTATATGCGAAACAATTTTAGAGTCTGTAATTTTACAATTACATCCAGCCTATCAGATAATAATCTTGATAACAAAATTTGTATAACAATCATTAATCGTAAAGATGAAATATTAAATTTATTTTCAAACAAAAATACTATCTAAAGGAAAGGAGGAAAACCTCTTCTAATGAGGTTTAAAGCAGCATTACACTTGAACCTGGTCTGCTAATAGGATTTGAGCTCCAAAGCTAAAACAAAAGCCTTAGGCTTGATGAGATTGTGGGGAGAAGTTAGAGGCATTTGAAGTTCATTGTGTTCTACTTAGTTCATGTGTAATTTTTTTGTTTCTGCGGCAAGGTGATTTTCTGTGCATCGTGTAAGAGAGCTCAAACAAACCCGGAATATTTCATTATTTTACATAAATAATCTTATTAGTGGTCTTATAAGCAACATGGAAGAAGTGTGTATTTTGCCCATAAAGACTTATCAGCACTTTGCAGACTTGAGTCCGCTATCCCATTTCACCATTAATCTTAACCTTACAGATCATTTGCTAAAATGAGTCTGGTTTTCCTTGAATTCGGTGAACTTTATTGAATAATACGTTGTAAATAAGTTGACTTTATTGTTCTAAACATCTTAAAACTGGTTTTATGTTTTTATGGTTGAAGAAGTCCTCGCACTTGGTCATAATATAAGTTGAAAAAAAAACTATCTTTAAAGCTATTTCACGAAAAGTGTTGGATTTTTGGATAAAGAGAAATTAGTGTTCCCTAGCCAATTCTTGTTGATCCTTTCAGATATTGAATTCAAAAGGTTGTATATTATATGTATTTGAACCTCTCTGAACTACTGTAATGTATTGAAATTTAACTGTGTATTTTGGGAAAAATCTACATGAATTATCTAGCCTGATATGAAAATTACTTCCCTTGCTCAATGCTCAAATTAACATCTACCACATTTTATAGCCGATGTAAATTGTTTCGGACTAATATAAACCTAAACCAGATTAATTAAAATAAAGTCTGATTCACTAATTTAGACGGATTAATAATCCAAACATACGTGAATCATCAGGTAACATTTCCCAAGGTAAAGTTTCACTATTTTGTGAAGAGAAGAAAGAGGATAGAATAAATGGGATGTGAAATTCACAGTTAAACAGTAGAATGAATTGAGAGGAACGTTTACTTGTTTTATTCCATGAGATCCTTTTAAGAAGATTAACTCTTTACAAGTTTGACAGTAGTGTGGGAATTGTTTATTGTTAAATAATACAATGTATTAATACTGATATATAGCCTTATTTATAAGCTGTGTTTCAATGTTAGTTCAGTTGGGTTTATGCAAACAAATATTGTTGTTTACATTTTGTTAATCTTTTTCCAAAAGTTTTTTAAAATTATTTTACTAATTACAACAATTTAGTTTTAAACATATCATAACCAAAGCGTTAAACAATATTCACTCAAACTACCCTAAAACAAGAGCCAAACATGTAGTCTACATCAAACTCTACAAACATCATCACACTCTAAAAGTCACCAACAACATCAAATACAAATGATTAAAACAGGCTTTAGATATTACTATAGAATGAGAATCTACTTGCACTATTTTAAGTCAGTGAAATTGCTATACAGGAGAATATTTTTAAGAGCCTGTCAGAATACTGTCTCGCCCAAGTATGTTTTAAAATGTCGCGGCTTCATGAATTTGTTTCATCAACATATCCTGTTTCAACAAAATGAAAATGAAAAGAATGAATAATTGTCACAGTTTTTGTAATTATTTCATTTTTGCTCTTGGACACAAATCACATTGTATTTTTAAATTTCATACCAAGTGTACAACTTAAGAGTCCTTGGAAGCTAGCAGCCCTGATGGATAATTTTAAACAGCTCCTAAAGAGTTAATTATCATCCAAAAATATTTTTTCAATCACTAAAGTGATTATAATAATTTAAATATCTAATATACTGTGGGATTAGAAATTCTCTTTGTGGCTTTGAATTGTTTGCCAAGGGAACAACGGCCATCCATGGAAGCCAACGGCCATCTTGAATTTGCCCAAGAGCAATGTTAATTTTGTTAATTTCAAACAGCCGCTGAAGAGTTATTTACCATCTCAAATTATTTTTTCAAATACCAAAGTGATTGTAATTTAAATATCTAGTATACTGTGGGATTAGACATTTTCTTTGTAGTTTTTTAAATTGTTTTACGAGTTAGAATATCTAGGCCCCAAGGACTTTGAAGTTTGGACACCCTTAGGGTACAGAATACAAGAGAAGCTAGAAGCACCTGCCCAGTTTTAAAAACACCTGTCCACACCACCTG